TAACGGCTATATTTTTCATTTTCATTCTACAATAATTTGTCTCAAACAGGGCCTGAAAGCACCTTACACAATCACTAAAAATTCCAGCACAACGCAATCCAGTCTGCACCAAAAGTAATAAACCCAGCAAAGATATATTGTTTTGGAAAGTGAAGCATTCGAAGTTCAATCTCAAAACGTTCCAAATTGTGAAAATTAATCATTTCCGTTGAATCTTGGTTGAATTGTTCCGAATAATTCAAGATATCAAACAAAAGCAATGTGAAGCATATTAGTGTACAATTCAATAGTCTACCCCTTAAAACTGATGCTGTACTACCTATTCTAAAATTAAAAGTATCATGAGACATTCTTGTTACTATGAGTATACAATAATTCTCAAACCTCAATAAAATATTTAGCTACTTCTACAGCATATATGATCCATGTCAACACTTTGGGATGAAAACCAAATATTAGTATACAATTGTGAAAGAAATAAGAGATGGCAACACAGCCAAGAAAAATAGGTAAAACAAGTGTTGGGAGAGGTGGGAAAATAATATTCATAAAATTATCCAAATGACATATACTTTTTTTTTTTTGGATCGGTTCCAAATGACATAAACTTGCATGCATATAGGGAGGGGGAGAGAGGGAGGCACTAAAAAGGTACGAGGAAACGTAGAGTACAGGAGTAATCAAGAACAAAGGTAAGAATAACTTGTATTGTACAGGTTTCACATCCGTAAGAATCCAATATTAATTTCATTAACATTTTAACCCAAAAGCATCTCAGTTTTGATACAATACAAATAACAAGCATAAGCACATCACATACATGTAACTCATATTATCATAAACTCTTGTTGGTGCATTCAGTTTTATGTAATCCATTATACTCTTTGCACAAGTTCCTGATCCACCTCCAATCTCATATATCTGAAAAAGAAAAATAGTAGTAGGAAAATACTTCAATTTTTTTAGCTTGATTTTAGGAGATAAAAGATATGAAAACTCAAGACTCAACTTAATTAAAAAAAAAACTATAGCAGTACTTTTCCATAAGATGCAAAATAGACAAGGCATAAACTTTTTCTCGACAATAAATGAAAGGAAATTCCTCTTGACAATTAATGAAGGGAAGAATTTCTGTTTTCCATATATAAATCAACGTTGCTGAAATTGTCAAGGAGCTTGAATAAGATTCTGAAGATCGTCGAAGATTACGATTATATTAT